TACTTTTTGAAACTTTCCACATGTGTGAAGATACAGAAGATAAATTTAAGCTGGGATTAGTTATGTTGGTTGAGTGTGTGTTGAAACCGACTTCACGACAAGTTGATTATAGAACTTTGGGCATGGTTGAACATCTGGATGAGTTCCTTACGTATTCGTGGGGCCGGATAACATATTTCGTTTTGTTAAATTCATTGAAAGAGTCACAATTGAAAAGAATACTAAGGATGCAACAAAATGGACAAACAGAATGTAAGTATGCATTACAAGGCTATCCACTCGCATTTCAGGTATTATGTTCCTATTCTAATTACTTACGTATTATGTATAATTTCTTTGTACAAAGAATAAAATTTATACATCACATTTCTCTTTCTTTACGTTGCAGTATTGGATATATGAAGCGTTTTCACAAATTGGACAAAAGTTTGGTCGACGTAAACACAGAACAGTGCAGATTCCACGAATCTATAATTGGAGGCCTAATACTATACTAAGGAACCGGTTGTTAAGCAATTTTTGGATACTCAAGATGTATGAATTTTTTATTTTCAATGTAGAATGACATTCGCATTTTATTATTAACAAGTTCAATTAAACAAATGGATTCTGATAGTTTGTTATGATTACAGATCGAAGTCATTGCAGTGCTGCAGCCTACAGAGGAAGAATTACAAACACCCTGGTACACAAATCTTTCTCTGTCGGTTGACGATGAACATAATATATTAGATGCCATTGTCACTGAAGAAGTAGATAATGTAGTACCACAAATACCGGATAACATCCGTGTGCAAGAAACGATCAATCGTGGTACATCGAGAATTTCAACTGGAGTTGGGCCTAGTTCTGCTTCTGGTGCCTTCAGATATGTAACTGAAGACCGAATGGAAGAAATGTTGGGTATGTACAGGCAACATACGATATCAGATATGTCCAGTCTATGTGGCAACTTGAAGGCATAATTTGTTGAAGAATCCAGAGCCCTGAACCAGGATATCCTTGAAAGCCAAAAGCAACTGTTCGAACAACATAACAAATCGATGCAAGATTACATGTTATGTGGTATGCAGTCATACATGGATAATTCTCTATCAAATATGTTTAGAACTCATATGGCCCTGGAATCGCAACAACAAGAAACCCATTATCAGGCGATTCTTCAAAAACAAGAAAAATTATTCCAACAGCAACAGGAGCACATACAGTCTTATATTGATACAAGTTTATGTTCTGTCAGATCTTACATTGACGAAAAGAATGAGAGTATGCTAACCAGATTATCTAACTGGGAATCCAACATGGAAGCCATTATAGGTTCCATGCAGGATGTTCCTCTCCATGCAAGTCCAACTCCTACTGTTCAACCGCATGAGACATCAATGTCTCAACCAGCAGAAAGTGTTGACATGCGGAGAAGAGAAAGGGAAAAGAAGATGAAATACACATAGGCTTCGTCATCCACAGGCCATCCCTTAGAAGACTACGACATGAACAAGTACAAAGACATTAGGAATTGGATATCGAGAAATCAATTTCTGAATAGTCCGAATGCTAAATATTATTATATCTATGCCAAAAATTATTTGTTGAATTATTTGACAGTAATTTAAATTATGTTATGCAGTGCATATTTGGACGATGACCGTGACAATGTCTATGGAAGAGACATGCTAAAAAGTTTAATGGATCCGACGAAGGATCTGAATATTGCGGTGAGTGAAGGTTTGCAATCACAATAAATTTGATTTCGTAGTTAATATGTATAATTATGTTACATATATTTATTGCATTAGCATATTGAGTTGGAGCTGAAGTTATTGAGGCAGCGTATGAATGAAGATTGTACTCTCGTCAATAAAAAATATGCAATTTTGGATTTTCAATTTGAAGAGGAGTGTTGTCAGCAAATGAGGTGGCACATGAAATATAACCAGACAGGTGAATCGGATGGAACTCGCCTACAAGGCTACGTCAACAGTACATTGCCTGTAGCTAGTCGTTCGTGGATGGGATGCAAGTATTTATTAATTTCAAGTGCATATCCAGGCAATGAATGTTATCTGTTTCTGGTCAATATTCCTGAATGGAAATTCTACATATACGACTGGAGCAATAATGTTCACACACCTGATGCAATCAAGGCTAACGCAGAAGCAACATGCACAGTCGTTCAAACATTATTGTAGTGTCTACCCCTGTCCACCAAACGAGATATAAAGAAACATATAAATGATCCAATGAATATGAAGATTATACCTTATCTACCGTGTGTGAACAATAGGTGAGCATTTCAACTCTTGTTATTTACTATCGTAGTTAATCTATTGTATGTACTAATTTCGACTAACGAAAAATCGTTTATTGTACAGGCCAAATTGCATAATGTTTGTATTCAAGTATATAGAATGCTTCGTTCTCGGGCATCCAATAGAATCAGTTTCAGCAGAGAGGATGTCAATATACAGAAGAAAGATTGCGGTCGATTTTTTGAATAACGAATACTTTCTTTATCCCCGATAGTGAAACAGTTGTCGTGGCTTAGCTGTACTTTGTTTGTGTGACTCTTGATGATCAGCTGGTTCATGATACCGTCATTTGCAATATGTATTTTGCTTTATGTGGTGGTACATAACATGAATTTTGGTTTTATGTGGTGGTACGTAAAATATATTTTGGTTTACACAGTGGTTTGCATATTTCGATTTATATGGTGGTATGTAATATGTTCTCGAACTGTCATTCTAGACAAATAAAATATCAAGCGTCGAGATTCACAACTATATAATGTCGAGAACGACATATCAAACGTCCGAAAATCAAAGAAATGTAGAGAAATATAGTATTTTGGTCCAAGTGTCGTTCTAGATATTCGTAATGTCAAGTGTCGAGATTAACAGCTATTTAATGTCGAGAACGGCATCAAATGTCAATATAAATATGATCCAACCAAATTTAACTAAGAGTGAAGGCAACCAAATGGTGTATTAACTGCGAAAACTATAGCAAGCAGCTTTATAATTACTATAGCAGTTAAAGTTGGTATGCCAAGCACAAGTACGTTCTCAACCATATTGATGTGAAAAAAGTTGTAAAATAATTACCATCAATGACTTCAACCATATTGGCTGGTGAGATATCTTATCGTGCATTCAACGGACAAGTGTTTCTCCAGTATAAAATGTGGGATTTTACTTAAATATGTACATACGAGAATTTAACAAATTCATAACACTAGTTAGTTTTTCCATTGATTATGTCTTCATCAACTCAACATACTCCTGTTCTTGATGTTACTATCACTTTCGACCCCCCTACGTTGTCCGCGGACAACCCGATCATTATAGACTCGGATCGGATGATGAAAGCAATATCTTTGTTTTATATGTTCGTCAACCTTCGAATCGCTATCGTAGGGTTTGCCTTCAACCAATCCCTTTTCTGAATGTAATCGACGAAATTGAACCAATTCAAGTTCATCGTGAGATCGTCCCAGTATCGGTTCAACCGGAAGCACATCATGTGTTGTTGGATGAAAATGTTGGAGCAGTTCCCGTCGAAAATGAAGATGTGATCATCATGAGCTCCGACGAGGAGTATGACAGTGATATGTCCTCTTTGTCCGTCGTGGAGGATATGTAGAAGATGCAGTCATCGTAAGTGAAATGTTTACGTACATATATTAGTGCTATAAAATCCATATAGGTGATGGATATTTTTTTGGGTGATCACCATTTTGTATAATAGTTGTCTACGATATGTATTGGAGTTATGGCTTTCTTTTGTTGTGATTACCATTTTGTCTGCTCCAATGACTTAGGAGAAGAAGTCATTCATGGGTTGCTTTTGTATCCATTATTACATTGTGTCTACAATGATTAAGAAAATCCAAGTGATGAAATAGATATGTGCTTGTTCACTTATATGATGAACAAAATGATATCGTAGTGAAATGCTCATAAGAATATATGTAAGCATCATTTTCCTTGTTGGTAGTTATACCCCAAACCTGGCCGGTCTTGTTTGTATCCATTATGACATTCAAAAATGAAGTGTTGTTTGTATTTAGTGAATGCCCATATGAATTTTCCTATTTGTGCGTTATAAAATTTTGAATAACTAGAATAATATAAGAGAAAAATCACAAAAAATGGGATGAATCCGTATAAAGGATTCAAAATGTATTACAAACTTAATTTTACAACAAGCAATTGCAAATAAGTGATATCAAGAGAGAACAAAGAAAGAAACAGAAAGAAGTAGAAGTCAAAAATATATTCAACAACATTTAAAACAAGAGGTAGAAAGCAAGTAATGCAAAAGAAAAAAAAATTCAAAATATTGATAATTCATGTTATCAGGGCATTTGACGATCGGAATACACAATGTCATTCAAGTATACGTGTCACTTAAAGATGTCGAATTCTGACATGTTTGCCTGTTATGTCCAGAACCCCCACATCGACTGCATTTTCGTCTCAACGTCGACCTTTCAGTTCTTGACCGTTGACGTTGGGTAGGAGGTCAACCTGGTGTTCTACGTATATTCGGGGGCAAAATTTCGACGGAACGAATAGACTAAGGAACAACCCAATTTGACTCTCGGCTAACGGGGTGAAGAACTTCGTTGTACGCAACTCGCCAATATTCTGTGGTGTAGTAAGGAGAGCACAAATCATACAATGATTTTTCTTTTGCGCAAGCAGCTCGGGATGAATGTGAACATGGGATTTGTCGCATCTGAAACTCTCAACATGAACATGTGTTACCTATAAGGTTGACAGTACAAAGTTCAGTAGCTATACCTATCTCAAAAACGAGTTCGTCCAAATTTCGTACTGGTAAAGTTGCACCGGCGTCGAATGATTTTCTCAATTCATCATCAAATTTTGATGTCACAGTCGTACTATATTTCGTGGATGCACTTTTTCTCTCGTAAAACCATCTTGCTTCAATGACGTGATATTTTCGATCAACGAGGTTATAGGGAAACTTCTTTGTCATCTTAGGATTGAATTCAGTGACTCCGCAATGTTATTCGTCATAACGTTGTACCGATTACTAACAAAATGTGCCCGTGACCAGGTGGATATACCGACACGTTCCAAGTAAGATGCCATTGACGGTGGAATGGTTCTTATCTGTGTCATGAACTGATCAAATTTCGATACGCGGTATGCTAGCGCTGCCCGCTTGAATAAGAAGATGACATTGCTACTGCTATACCTAGCAATAAGATTTTTCTCGATAGACCAGATGCAGGCACCGTGGTGAGAAAATGGGAACAACCTCGTAATTGCCCGCTTAATACTCTTCTTCCTGTCCGACACAATTACTAGCTGGTTTGAATCATCAACGACATCTTTCAACTTTGCAAATAACCAATACCACGATACATTTGTTTTCCCATCGACAACACTCCACGCAAGAGGATATATTTGTAGGTTAGCATCTTGCGCTGCAGTTACTAGTAGTATTCCCTTATATTGGCCCTTCAAATGACTTCCATCAACACAAATTACTGGCCTCATGTATTCTCGAAAACCACGTACACTAGGCCCGAATGCTAAGAAGAAGTACAAGAACCTATTATTCGAGTCGAGTTCAATGTGTGCAATAGTTCCTGGATTTTTCTCGGTTAACATGTGACAATATGATGGCAATTTCTGGAAACTTTCTTCAGGTGTACCACGAAGAAATTGAAGTCCCTTCTCTTTAGCCCTCCACGCTTTGTTGTAGGTAATTCGTACACCAAACTCACGTTCCATATCCCTAATAATACCCGCAGGAACGTATGATTGGTTTGCATCATCCAACCTTCGCATTATGTGAAGCCCAATTACTGCACTCATTGCGTGAATTTGTGCATTTCGTCGAACGTCTAGAGAACATGTGTGCTCAGGTATGTACTCTCGAATCGTAAATATTTCTGAAGTTTTTATCTTAGAAGCTCGTACTAGCCAATGGCATGTAGTATCGACACAACACACAGTAAGAGATCTAGGATTCGACTTTTTAACCTTGAAATGAAACTTCTCTTTCAAAGCCTTAAGTTGAAGCCTTGTGTGTAACTGTTGTTTGCTAAAGAATATCTGATTCTCTACAATGTCCTCTTATCAATCGACTCAATTGCATTTCGAATAAACAAGTTGCCTTCACCTAGACTTTCATCCATATTATCAATCGTTTGTTTGTAGTTCGCACATACCGACTTCATCGCGTCCACACAATGCATCTTCTATTGGTGACAAATGCTCAACTCCGACATGCAGTTCGTGCTCTCCAGCATTATATTCATCTGCAATTACACACAACGCTGCTTCTGTGTGAACAGACATAAACCATTGCAAATCCTCATCGTCGACTACATCAGCAAGGGGTATATTCAAGTTCGGAACTGTAAATTTCAATTGAATTCGGAACTTCATTCTATCAACATTCAGTTTCTCGAATAATTTATGTACAAGCTCTTCATATGTAATATCATGTCGAACAACAATTGATGTTGTTCGGTTCGCTAACCACTTCCACCCGTCGTCTATGTTGATGAATCTACCACCATACGAGACAACAAATCTCTTAACATCTCCCATATTTGCATGTCATAAACAACAATACTGTCAACCACTAACGAAAATTGAAAACGAAAATGCTACCTGCATGCAATATGTAAATCGCTATACACGAAATTTTCCCAACTTACTCAAATTTTTAATGTTATTGTCAACATTTGACAGTGTCGAGAATGATAGTATAAATATCGTTCACAACATTTATAAATGTCGTGAACGATATTTATACTATCATTATCGACATTTATAAAATGTCGAGAATGAAATGACGGGATTTCATGCATTTATCACCTTCTTCAACTTCAACCACCATTTTTGCAAGAATTTATTCCACCATAAATGATATTTTAAATACAGAAGTATATTATCTAATTAAGTTATTTAAGATGAATGGTATAAAAAATATATACTCATGATAATTTCGTTCATTGAAGGGAAAGAATACCTTATAAAAAAAATTGAGATTTGAACATATATAACAACAACTACTAAATAAAACTTATCAAAAAAAGAGAGCTCGAAGAAATAGAGTTCAAAGAAATATACCTTCTACTGACAAATGATGAAAGCCTAATCAGCGTCAAATTTCTACCACAGTAAATTTCTTAAAATGATTTCTTTGAAGTTGGAATCATATACTTCTTCGTATATGTTAATGGAATTTTTGCTTTTTCTTCATTTGTTCTAGAATAATTGATTAAAATATAATTAAAAATGTAAGCAAGTGGATTCACCTAGGTAATAGCAACATTATTGTGGCTTCTCGTGGAAGTTATTTGCTCTTCTTAAAAATTGTGCTAAAGTGATATAAAATTGATTAATCTTTTTATGAGGGTAAAGTAGACATTTTGATCTAAAAATTGGACATTTTTGCAAGGATTATAAAAAAAGTACACTTTTCAACTCCAACCCTTATAATTGGACATTCTTGAAAATGCCTCAACGAATTGAAAAATGATCAACCCAACTATGAGACATCGAGATAGTAGTAACAAAATGAGCTAATCCATGTCCTGCCTTATTTCCCGAGCGAGGTATAGAGCTACACGGACTAGAGTCAATACCATATAGACTATTTTAGATATCCAACTCCATATATCGACATAAAAAAAATTGCCAAAAATCGAAATATACGAGATTCTTCGAATCTTATTGCTTGGACGACTGATCAGCAAAATAACACACGTCTAAGGCGACATTGGATTGCCTGGTGGAGGCCTTCTGATGCCGGTGAAATATTGAAACTTCGATCGATAAAAGTTGATTGCCATGTCTAAATTTGTACTCGTGAAATTATTTTAGAATGTTCCATTAAAAAAAATAAAAATTCCCTCTAGTACAATGACAAGCAACGCTCAAGGATCCAACAATAAGTAATAACCAGTAATCTCTGGCTTTCTTTCTAGTCTACTTAAATTAACATTTCATGGCAGTAACATTTAGAACTCTGATCAAATATTAGTGTAATTGAATTTCCTTCTGATCATCGGGCGTTGATGATGCATACCTGTAGTTTCGTGCCCACAAGTAATAATGCAAGAAGTTCAGTCCACTTAATATGCACATTAACCAGTAAAATCTTTCTAGGCGATAATGATTTAAATTACTGCCATCGAGCCATGGAGTTCGACTAAAGGTCCCAGTTATATTGTTAACTATCGCAACAAGCACTGAACTCAGGTAATAACCCATGGCTAATGAAGCCCATGAGAGAGATGTTGCTAATGATCTCATGCTAAATGGGGCCTCTGTGAAGAAGAAATCCATCATACCAGCTAGGCTGAACAGATCAGCTGAACCAAGGAACAGGTATTGAAGTGCCACCCAAAGGAATGTGATTGGAAGAGGTTCTGGAGAATTCATTAGGCCGGATTGTGTTGCCACTCTCTTTCGCTTCATCTCGACTAAAGCTGCAACAGCCATGGCTACGATTGAAAGAATTAGGCCGGTTCCAATTCGTTGTAAATGAGTAATTCCCATTTCAGTATTGGTCAACTTTCTGAAAAATGGTACCATAACATGGTTATAGACTGGTGCAAGTATCATTATAAACAGCACGGGAAATACTGGAAGAGAAGCCGGTGGAACTCTTAAAGCTCCAACATGAGTGTTCATGGTGGCTGCTTGTTGGACTGAAAAAGTGGAAAGCTGAGCAAGGCAGCAGTTGAGCATAATGGTTGACATGAATATTGGCAGGATCTTAAGGACAGTTTTCACTTCTTCCACTTGTTTTGTCGTGCACTCGAGCCATGGTGGTGCTGATGTTCTCATTAATGCTCTGTTAAGAAACTTGAGGTCTTCAGTTACACTCTGGATTTCTGGGTTTCCTCTACCATGTTGTTCGTCCTCTCTGGCCTCAGTTGTACATGACAAGGTTGTGTTCATGTTTTCTATAGCATTGCCAGAATTCCTCGGAATCCGAACATTATAAATTGCAGCTGCCAAGACCTGTCGTAAGATAATAAAGGAAATAGTTCTTAATTTCTTTCAACCTTGTACTAGAAAACCTATTCTTGGTAATACTGCTAGAGAAGACTGGACAGTATGATCTGAGCTTCTTTTGCTTCAGTTTCTTCCTTAACACTGTTGAGTACTATCAAATTTTAGTACGAACATGCCAATTTTTTAGCATTCTGTTTACCTTAAAAATTGTTGTGATAGGGCTTCCACTGGGAATTTTGATCCTGTAACAAGCTGAGCCAAGGAGGAAAACTGGTATGGAGATCAATATGGCAGCAGTGGCGATTCCAAAACCCCAATGCCAGCCCTTATTATCTTCAATCCACACCACAAATGTCACTGCAATTAGTGCTCCACAAGAGAGGCAAAAAACATAATAATTGAAGAATGTTGATCTCTGCTTCCTTCCATGTGGGGTATGCTCATCAAATTGCTCGGCTCCATGCGGAGGAAGAGAACCTTTTATTCCTCCAACACCTAGTGCCACCAAATAGAGGCCTGCATATAACATCACTGATCTTCCTCCATCAACTTCTTCACATGGAATGTTTCTGTTAACTGATGTGCAGACTGGAGGTTTCAGTGAAGGTATCTGAGCTTGAAGTGTGAGTATCAACAGACCCTGTTCCAATTTTACAGTCAAGATTATGTTACATACTGTGAATTATGTATCCAATCATTAATCGCTAAGCTTTTAAATGAGGTGGTTCAGCGTCGCTTAAGACAAAGGTTTGAGTTTAAGTCTTGCCCCAACTGTTTATTTTTTGTGCAAGGGTTACAAGGGGGTAGCTTGAGCCTTGAAGACTCAAGCTAACTGAAAAACTTTTGAGTCTTGCCCCAACTGTTTATTTTTTGTGCAAGGGTTGGGGTAGCTTGAGCCTTGAAGACTCAAGCTAACTGAAAAACCATGTCTCCTCTTTAATAATTTAAACTTTCAGATGAGATTGTTGAATTTTTGCCCGTCATGACTCCAGTAATTTGCACACTGGTGGTAACATTATGTTGCATAGGATACCAAAGCGTTAACCAAATATAGAACTGAGTTAAATCACTCAAAATGCAGATTGGTGCAGTCCTTTAACCATATAGGATTCGCTTGCTTCGTGGCATTAGAATGCTTGTCTATTATTAAAACTGCGCAGTTACTAATTTCCTCATACTGTAGCACCACATTGTAATGACAGTGACAGCTGTTACTTTGAAAATGGGATATGAAATCTAGTCCTAATTACTTAGGAAAAATTAGTGAGAGCCATAGGACCACATTAGAAGGCAAAATTTTCATCCACAGATTTTGATTGGACAAAACTAAGGTGAGGGTCATAAATGTTTAACCATGCTACCAACTCAAGATATGCTTATGGACTCTAAAAACATGAGCGGGAATCATCACAGTATTAATGTAAGTAGTAAATAGGTATAATCCGTGGAATCACAGGAACTATCAGATGTCATTTATGAAGAAGATGGCATGGTTCCATCAGTTATTGCTTTCACACAAGTATTTGCATGTGGTATGTGATATAGGCAGGTAAAACAAATATTTTGTAGATGTCTATACTCCCTAATTTTCTTAGCAGTGTCATTTTTCTGCTTTCCAGGTTTCTAATGGGCTACCTGAAAGTTAGTGTAGCTAGCTGTACTATTGAGTTTATAAAATATTTTGTAACAATGTTGGACTGTGTGGAATATATTACTATGTTGGACTGTGTGGAATATATTGCTACCATATTCTTATCCTCTCAATTGGGTTCGACCTAAAATTTATGTAATATGAAGGATTTTTGAAGAGTGCATTCTGTATTCCATTATGCGTTAGGTTGCCTTACAATTCCTACTATATAAAGAATTTTTTGAGGGGCCATTTCTGTGTGTTAAGGGCTTGAGAGAAAACCTTTTGACCTACTACAGCAAATGGATGTATCTCTACATAGACAATGAACCACTATAAATTGTGCGTTGTATTCGTTATTTTCAATTTCATTGGTTTTTGTTCTTGCAAGAGATTAGAGTTTAACCACAACAAAGTGAAGTGAACCTTGGAACCATACCATAAATTCTGTCGTTGCACTTATCAAATAGATGCAATAGGTGTTAATGTAGGCATCAGATAAGAAGCCACCAAGGAGAGCAAGGAGGAAGGCCGTGCCCATGAAGTTGGTAACCATGATGGCCGAACTAGATGGTGAAAAATGCATGAATTTTGACAGATAAAGAACTAAATTGCTCGCATTTGCCAGGTATGCTAGGTTCTCCAAGACTTCCACTACTGAAAGATTGAAAAAGGAAAATAATTAACAGTCAAATACCTATGTTTTAACTCTTTAAGAATCTGTTTCAAACTGTCCACAATATTTAGACAATACAATGAACAAAGATTTTAGTTTTGCTAATTTTTTTTTATCTAAACTAATGTAATGCTATGAAATAAGCCAATATTTTCACTGACCTAAGACAAAGGAGGCAGCTAGCAAGCCACCATGACAGCCTTTCAGGGCTGGCCTATTTCTCCAGTCTCTGTAGCCTTCCCATTTCTTCAATTGCTGCTCCTTATCCTACATCAATAACAAAGGAAAACATTGAACGAACATTTCAATTTGATGGTGAAGAAGCTTTATGAAAAAGAGAAAAATGGTAATGGAGTGAACCATCTTTTGTTCCAACAATTATGAGATCTCTTGCTTTATGAACCTGATCAGAGAGCATTTAGAATAAACAGCATCTGTGCAGGAGTAGCATTTAAATACTGGGAGAATTGGGTTGTCAAATCTGAATGGAAAAATCTGGATCCTTTGAATCTTGAAAGTGACTTAACATTCTCACAGCTCCTTCACCTCAATCTTAATATGGTCGGCTTATCTCTATTGTTTTTTATTTCATTTATGTGCATCAAGTTCGTGTAGATATATTTATTTTATTTTGTTAAGCTTGCTCGAAAACTTGGTAACTATTTTGAAACTTGTTTACTTTACATACATATTTTAAGCATCGCCAAACATGCAAGTTGAATGACTACATTTTCCAGATAGCCACACAACCACTCATCCACATCCACAATCATTCTGTGTGTAGTGGTGAGACCACAGTGTTTCTCAATCTTAAAGAGACTGCATGCAACTTTGTCCTGTCCCACCCTCTATTGTCCTATTACAGGCCATACTAAAAAGGAAATATCCTAATTTTTGGGGCACTGCTTCTTGAAAATGTGAACCTGATGTTGGTCATTTTGTCCCCTACCATGATCTCATGTAGTTTTCAACTGAATTATATTATCTTCTTTTTGCTACTGAAGTTATCTGACGAATGGCCATCCATCATGTGTATATTAATTGTATATAGTTTTTTTCCATTGATTTTTTGCGCTTGTTGATCGGTGAAAGGTGTAGATGAGATGAGCCATGAAATTGTGAACTGCTTGATCTGACAATTCAGCAAATTGCATGGTTAGGATTCCTTGAAAACGTCGGCATGGTTTTCTAGCATCCATTTCTGTCTTTTGCCTATTCTATGAAAGTGTTTCAATTCCATTCAGACTTGTGGTTGTTCATAATATATATAATGCAGTCTTCATTCTGTGAGAATAGTAAAGCAGCCCATGAACTCGGTTTATTAGTCACTATGTGCAATGTTGATTACCAGTGGATAGATTTTATTCCGATCTCTACTTCATCTGTGATTCGCCGGTGATATCTTTAACGAATGACGCTTTGTGCTCTGGCCTTCCAAAAAAAGAAAAAAGTATCGATCCCTTTTGATTTTTTCTTCACTTTAACATATATTTCAGTTCAATAATGTTTATCTTATAAATGAACCCATTATCATACTGTATACATGTGAGGCACTTAGAAGAGTAATGCGCTATTTTAATCAGTATATCTCAGAAATGAACCATCATGATAAAACATCACTAATGGTATGCATTACTAAACCACACATGATAATAACAAAATTCTTACTATTGTCGAGCCTCATCTAATTCAACTTAATAAACATGCCCTAGCTAGCGGTGCTAATTTCACAAGTGAAAGTTTTGCCATTATATGGCCGTTATGGTATAAGAAGCACAAGAAGCACCGATATCTATAAACTTGTTATGTACTCATATCCGATACGTATTCAAGTTTTGATACTCTTTGATACCCTTCGATACATTCCGGATTCTCATTTTTTAATTATTTATATATTTTAAATTTTCAATATGCATCCGATAGGTATTTTTTAATATTTTTGTATGATTTTCGATATATATCCGATACTTCATAGTTTGCATGTACCTTTACTACAAAACATTGCTTTGAAACAAACATCTTGTGAACCTTCTTCTTCATGTTAAAAGAAATAGGAGTGCTCACTCTTTTGTACACTCTACGAGAAAGAACACTACAATGAGCTAAAAAATTGAATGTCATTCATAGCAGTTTGCGCCTTTTATCAAGAAAATTAGATCTCTATTCAAAAAGGAGAATAAAAAATGTGGGACATTGAATTCATTTGATACTCTTGAAAGTGTTGAACTGCTTGAAGTTGCTAATCTCTCATTAGATGAGTCAGAGTTGGAGTGTTATTCATAATTAAAAATTTGATGTTGATGATGTTGAAGAAAATGAAGTTTCGAGAATTAATGATCAAAATAAAGTGCTTTAGTATTTATTTTATTTTATTTTTATTATCTTGCTTTTGTAGTAATTTTTTTATATTAATCAAATTATGTCGAATTTTATAACACGTATCAACGTCTCCTAATTTTTTCTAAAAAAGTCTTATCGACATATTCGTAGCATATATGAATTATGTATTCATATCCATGCTTCTTACCTTATGATTACGTTATTTAAGCCAAATTTATAAATGATTCATAAAATTATGTTAAAGTGAAACATTAATTTCAACCACACATTTACAACTACTACTCATTATTATCCATACATTTCATAAGATTCACTGCTTTTCCTCTTTGTAAACTTTTTATAAAATTGCCGAACGGGAGCCAAGATGCTGAGTTCCCTTATGTGTATTTATTGACCTTTGCCGAAATTTTGCATCCGTAGGATTCTCTCATCTTATCATTATGAATTTGATAGCACTCGAACTCAAGAATGGCAAGACAAGTTAATTTTTGTCTGTTATCAGGTAAACTACTGCCTCATCCTACCTACAAAAAATTCATTAAACATATGGCTCTACTATAGGCCACGCATTCGCCGTTCATGATTGGTGCAAATGGAAATGCGGCACGAAATTTAGTCGTAGGCATTATCTGCACTGTTTCTATTGGTTTCTTCGGTTTACTGGTTGATTGATAAGCTCCATTGAAAGGGCTAGAAGTATATCAGTGGAGACCAAATTCTGGTTGTTCTTATCCATAATCAGCCTGTGGTTAGAATGTCAAATCCCACCTCCACTTGTATCTTTAGTGAAATAAGTAGATAAATGTTCAATTTGATATTCTTATAATCATGTAATGGATTCAAGAGCTGGAAATCTAATAGCTTATCCTAGTGGAAACTCATCATCACAGCTTACTGTTTCCAACTTTTGTATGTTCAAGTGCTTTTCCTCTTCCACAATTCTTGAATTCTAGAGGTTACAAGGGCATAAGAACATTCAGCTTCCATGTCTCACAGCATTTTTCGAGTTTTGTTCTTTGTTCTTTATTGAAGAAGCAACCTTATGAAACCTCATCTAACTGCACGCCAAATTAACATGTGGGGTTTTGATAAAAAATGGTAAATACAACTTTTTTTATTTTATATTTTGCTTGATACAATAACAAATCATCTTATCTCATAGCTTAGCTATCTGAGACGAGGAAAATCAATTTATTTATGAGCTCGTCCTGAGGGTGGTTGGAATATTGGTTTGCACCATGAACTGAAAAGGTCAAGGTCCCTTTCCCAGACTGAAAAGTAACAAGACAAAGCAGGGTTAGGCTGTACAAAATACATGTATTAAATGCCCCCATGGAATCCTCTTACTTGAGAAAAAAGGCACTCCAGCAGTCCCTTTCTCAGCATAATCTTCTGGTTATTTCTAGATGGGACCATTACTATTTTTGTCCAAAGAAATGAGAAATCCTTAACAAATAAGTCATAATTTGATTGATCCACAAAATTTATATAATTAGATTGACTGATCTTCATCGGTTCTTGTGGCTCCAATAGTAGCTCTCTAGAATGACTTTTTTAGCCACAGGAACTCACAAACACCATATTCAATAGCTCTGAATTCAATTTTGGCATTGGATCTAGCAGCGACATGATTCATATTCTTCCACGTTACTAAATTCCCTCCAATTAATGTACAATAACCAGTAGTTGATGTACAAAACCTGCCCAATCTCAACCTGTATGCCCTTCAACTTTCAAATGATCATTTTAAGAATAGAGTATACGTTTTCCAAGATGGGTTTTAAATTTTAATGTTTCTAAGAATTCTATTCACGACTTTCAAATGATTTTCAAACATTGAAATGCATAAACTGGCTCACTATGCTGACAATGAAGAGCAAAAAACATATAATGTTGCTCTTATGATTCCGGAATTGTATATATGTTTCCATAAACTAAAAGATTAAGGCAACTAAAGGCAGTCATACATAGGATTTCATGATCCTGGATGGATTTTTTAAATGAAGCTCAAAGAGGTTGGAACAGAACACCAGCATAATTACTTGGGGGCAATAGGATGTCATGAACCAACAGTTTTGTACACTACCCGAACTGACTTCTGAAGTTAATTTTCGTGAAGAAACTTGAGAAACAATAAAATTACTATAGTATGTACAAGCTACTTAAATTTTGCTGATATTGATCTCGACCCCATCTGCTGGCTTTGGATGCGAGAGATAAGTAATTTCTGCTTCAGGATTCACGAGCTCCCATCTGAGTTTCAAATTACATGTTAGCTACTTCACATTGGAACATATACTTGTGAAGATTCCCTTTCTGGGAATTTGATTTTCCTTTTATCATCAACAAAAACCATACTGAAGAACCAAATGTAGAGTTCACCTGTATCCAACAACCAGATGATGAATTAAAACTGCGACTTGCAGTCGAGCCAGCTTGCTTCCTGCACAGATTCTTGGTCCTCCTCCAAAAACTAAATATGTTCCCATCTTTGGTGGCTCCTGAGGTACAGAGGAGGAAGATATTCATAGCTTTCACATGTAAGGGAGAAATAATGTTTATTTACTGGCTTTTCTTGTTTTTTAACTTACGCTCCATCTATCTGGATTAAAACACATTGGATCATCAAAATTTTCCGGATTTGTGTGAAGGTATCGAACCCAGCTGATTACCTTCCAACCTTTCGGAATTTTATAACCTGTTTTCAAGATTGGCAGTTTAGATCATTAAGCATAGCTGTGCTTCCGGTAACCTAGATTAAATGTCTGAACAGAAGTGTCTCTAATCTCTACCTTTATAGTTGATATCTTTGCTAGCTATTCGAAAAATACAGGCTGAAATGTTGGCCAATCTAATTATTTCTTCGACCACCTATACCAAGAACAAGTCAGAAAATTTCCCAAAAACGTAAGAAAATATTTAGGAGCTGTACAAAAATTCTAATTAGATATCTTTCATTTTGACTTTGGACAAGGAAAAACTGAGAGTTTTAATTTGTACATGTACCTTGTTCGTATACTTGCATGATGAGATGTCATCATATGTAATGAAATCCCCATTCAGTTTCTTGCTAATCGGCAAGTGCTCTTCCTGCAATTTAGTAGTGATGATCAATTAATATATACTTAGAAGCCCTAAATATATGTTAAAAACCATTGGACACCTGGTCATTTTATTTAAATTTTATCTTCAACCTGCATCCGAAAATGCAATTTAAGGCCTGGTTTTATAGTTATACGTACCCGAAGCTTTTTGAGAACTTCAGGGTACTTGGCAAGATAATAGAAACCCCACGTAATAGCAAGAGAAGTCGTATCAAAGCCTGCTATAATAAGGCCGGCAATGTTATCGAGAACCTCGATGTCACGCAATGGTTTCCCCTCCTCATCTTTCATTTGCATCAGCCCACCCATTAGGTCATCTTTGGCGTTTGTAGCGTTGAACTTCTTCCGCTTCTCCAATTCTTCTCTAAAAATTTCAATGACTTTCCAACGACACTGCAGTCTCATAATATCCATGAATGTATCAGACTTTTTGAAGTGTAAGCAAAATAAAGAGGGTCGCAACTGAAAATCTGAAACTGAAATTATTGATGCTTAACCTGGAGAGCACGACGATAAGCAGTTCCAGGTAAATTAACAGGATAAGCTCTTATGCCGTTCAACATTCCGTAAAACAACTCAATTAGTGTATCCAAAAGAGGGCCAGGCTCAAAGCTGGCAAAATATTTGCCAGTGATTTCGAATGTTACCTGCAGAAAATAGAAAGCTCTAGTTTTCAGAAGGCCTGTGCTTATCATGACTAAGTTGAGATCTGTTGTTCAAAATTGGCTGTCCACTAATGATTCATTAACACATTATTTTATACCTATTTTTAAGCACTCGTAATGAGAGAAAAGTTGGACATGTTAATTTAAACTAATGTGTGAATGAATCATTGGGTAGACAGCAAGTTGACAATCAATTTTGGACAACAGATCCAACTCATCATGACTTCCCTTCATGTTTTTGTGAATAAAATTTGGTTGATGATTTGTACCTTCTTTACTTCGTTAAATACAACGATTCTACCCTTTTGTACCCACGACTCAAGGGCAGCCCTTAAACAGGGTTGGATCGTGAGGGTGATCCTATGGAGAGCATCAGGGTGGTTGATAGCCCTTACAACAAAGCTTCTCATCCTAGAATGGGCATCTCCTTCCATTGCAGCAAGGCTTGTGGTTCCCATAAGTTTCGAAGAGGGCCATCCTGGTGAAAAAGTGGGCTCTTGGAGTACAAATTTGATGGCCATTGGAGAGTAAACTACTATGGATGGTGAACCGAAGAGGTGGGTTTTGTAGAGTCCTACTCCATCACCATACCTAATCATTACAAGAGATTTTGAATTATTCCTTGAAATTCAATGTAGTTAAGAACTATCTTCCTCAAGCCAGGGTGAAATTTCTCAACTATAAAACTTAAAAGAATCCAATTTTATCATTCTCTTCATGTAATGTCATTTTTCACTGCTATGTTTGAAATTATGAGTTAGACGTGATTGAGATTTTTGTGTCTATAAACTACTGATTAAACTATAATGAATGTAACCTCGTACTACAAAGCACTGGCTCAAGAAATATACGAGCTTCCGTATCTTCAACACGATACTCAATCATAATAAAGTCATGTAAGAAATTCTTACCTACGACGTTTAATATTTATGTACTCATCGGGATGACGAACAATCTTGAAGTACCATATAAAAGACAGCATCTCTCCGAAGAATGGAAGTCCCATGTGGCCTGGAGGGAGCTTCTTGCCGCCAGCACATGCTACAGCATACCAGATATCGTTCCACCGCCACAGCACCCAACCTGCTAAGGGTATTATTCCTATAATCATTGCTGTCCATAGGCTAAAAAAAACTTCCATCCTTCTCAGTTAGCTATGCCTGATATCCAGGCATTAATATATATATATTTGCTAAGATACCTAAAGAGATTATTCTTTCCAAATTGTGACAAAACTGTTTGACATGGCATATATATATATATATATTTGCTAAGATACCTAAAGAGATTATTCTTTCCAAATTGTGACAAAACTATTTGACATGGCAATGTCTAGGAGAAAATTCTTAATATATAGAGAGTAGATAGTATACAAGACAAGTGCTTAAAATGAGCATCAACGCCAGATAACGGAAAAGCATCAAAGACCGACACCCTAAAATATTTGCCTACAAGATATCATATTGTAGTTAACATTTGGAACAATAAATTTATTCTGGATAATATCTGGTGTCATCACGTGAATTTTTGTAGTCAATGCGATTAGTTCCTCATTTTTCAACTAACTATAGTAATTTTGTCACTTGAAATGTTGACATCACTACCTTAATGTTAAGACAATATTTGAATAACTAAATCTGTCCTTTTCTACCTCTTTATTTATTTATTTCTATTTTAGTATATGTGTAATATATTGATCAAATTCATAGACAGATACGCCGGACATTACTAGGTAATCAAAGATCAAGTACAAATACAAATACACTAGGCATACCTAGGCAATCAAAAATCAAGTACATATACAATTACACCGACATATCTGAGCAAACAAAAAATTAAGGATGGAAATGGTTCCATTTGGTTATGATTCCAAGAAAATCAAATCGAACAATGAACTAATGAATTTTTTTGATAGTGGAATCAAATGATTTTTTTTTAGATGTAGAACCAAACCGGAACCTAACCATTCGGTTCTAGTTTGGTTTGATTTAGTTTGGTTCTCGTTTCACTACTAATTGGGGGAAAAAAAAGAACGTTTGAGGAAGAAAAACAATGGGTTGAGACTTCAATTTTAGAAATCCACCCAACGATGTTTGCTGAGCATGATGATAGATGATAGGAGGTAGTTCTTGGTCTCTATGTGAGAGTTAATGTATAACTTGAAAATGAGAGAAACTAAGAAATGAATGAGGGTCTGGATCTTTAAAAATGAATTAGGATCTCCAGCCTCCATATTGAGAAATGAGAATCTGAAGGTATATCGCTCTTTTGTCCTGATTTTCAATTGAATTTTGAATTTTTTTGGTGTTAATTGTTATGCACTATATATATATATATATTTGATTTGGTCATTTTGTCTATTCCCATCCGAAATTCCTTGAATATTCTCTTTACACTGATTATACTCCAAGCCACTCATCTCCTCAAATTTTGACTGTTTCTGTTGATGCAAATCCGGACATCAAACGGTGGTGTGACACGTTGGTTAATGTTGTTATAATTCTAGCATATTGCCACACCATTAAATTGCAAGATTATGAAGGAAAAATTCGGGATTATGTCGAAAAATTTAAATAAATAAATGTATAGTTCATTTATATGACCATGAAATGCAAGACTCGTATTTGATGCATTTCCAAACGTGGGGAAAATGTGGTATTCGTGGCTTAGCAAAGTTTTATGTAAACACTTGTGAAATAATCAGAACCATTAATTATGGAGCAGACTTTTCGTTCA